AGGCACATTCATCAGGGATTTTCTGCACTGAGTGCAAGCCAGATCTGCTTCTTACACACATGAGGCAGTACAGAACTGATTGGATAGCTCATTCTTGAGGTTCCTGCAAATTTCAAGTACTGGCTGCCAGAGAAAACTCACAAGCTGAAGGTATATACCCTGAACTTCCCATTAAACTTTACAAGCATGGACAGAAACCAAATCAAATCACATTGGCACAGAGAATTGCAGCAACAAACCCCAGCAAAGCTTCTGGTCTTTGTACCTTCTGTCACATCTGCTGCAGCATCTCCATCTAGGAGCACATCTTCATGCCAAGCCACTCTGTCTGCACCTGCACATCAGTTCAGGTAACAGCTCTGGAACTCAAGCCAACCAGCACAGCAGTGCTCATGGGCATGTGGCTGCTCTCTCTTGGCCCCATGACAAGGTGGTCCCTTCCAAATGTTTGGGAAGCAGCTCCTGGCCTGTGCTAAACCTGAGCCATGCCCAGATGCCATCTGTGAGAAGGATGGCTGGCTCCCTCTGAAACTGTGCTCAGGAGCAGGTTCACTAATTATCTGCACAGCCTCCTCTGTGGCAATATTCATGTTAATTAAGGGCCTTGCTAATACTGTTGTTACTCTTACCACGACCCTACATTCAACCCAGTGCAGGGCAGAGGGTGTAATGGCATTTTGTAAATAACCAAAGGAGCCCCAGTGTACCCATTCAGAGAAGGACATGGTTTTTATCCAATTTACAGTCTGGGATCAAAAGACTACCCAATATACTTCTCTTCAAGGAAATGATGGTAAAGAGCCAAGAATAAGGGATGGAATTCCTGATTCTTATTGCTCACATTTAGCTGCTGGGCCACTGCCTATGATGTTAAATTATTCATCGTTTCTCACAGGGAAGGCAGGCACGCACTCAAAAGAGAAGCCGGGTGCAAGAAAAAGGGTTATCAAAGTATTCACACACTCTTTCCAAAGAGTTAGTTAACTGACAAAAATATGCTGCTGTAATGCATTTTCAGGTGTAGGCAGCAATTCTCCTCTACATCCTAGGGCTGGAATCCTGTGTGGGGAAAACTGAACTGCTCAGTATATGTAAAAGACAGGCCTCATTAACTCTTGGACATCTTCTCATTTCTTGGTCATAAATCCTATTACCTTGTATTACAAACTGCCATAAAACTCACAGATAAAAGATAATTTATGCTCAGTGTACAGAAGCTAATGTTTCTGTACTCCTGAGAAGCACACAACCAGAAAATGAGAAAGTATGTATGTGAAACCTTAAGCCATTCATATTGAGCATGGCTAGCATGATAAACATGACTCTAAGGGAATTATGCTCTTCAGCCAGGGTATAGTCTAATGGTAATTGATATTACCAAATTTCTAACATAAAATGTATGAAGTCTTGCATAAAATATCCTGCTTATAAAGACTGATTACTCCTTATTAAAAATTCAAGCTTTCCTCCCTCCCCCACTACAGAATGAAATATGACATCTATTCAGTACACAGGTACATTTTTTTTCTTTTTTATTTTTTTTCAAACTTCAAACATCAGATAAGGAAATGCTTCATAACAAGCATCACATCCTAGAATTCTTACAAAGTTTCCCTGTTTCTGACTCTTATTCTAATTAGTATTGCATGGCACACAAAAAATAACAGCCCTTGGAGTTGGCAGAATCAAAGGCAGCTCAATCTTTTATTTGCTTTTTCTCTTAAGCAATTTAAATTCCTCAGACTTTGGCACTGATTTTAACTGTATTGGTTATCTGCTCAAAGGAATATTTTGCTTTAGTGAAGACTGAGCAAATGTGCTCATTTAGGCTGCTTGTCATTAGTTTTCCTTTCCCATTCAGACAAAAGAAAATCTTTCACTGTCAATTTATAAATTCTGTAGCTACAAACTATGTTTTCATTGTGTGGGCCCTTCCATAGGTGCAACTCATTTCATGCCTGCTTTCTTTTCTTCAATATTTTATTAGTGGTTTGACATATATTGGAATTAATTTATCTAAATTTACATACTTACAGTCTATATATCTACATTTCAGCCTCCCACCCAGTTTCTCCATAGAGAACATGTAGACAGGTATTTATGGGATGTAATTATTCCCATCTTTTTTCTCTTTTCCTTACAGGAGCTTATCCTTAAAGTCAGAAATGAACATAAGAGAGTTTACTTCCTTGTGGTTTTCTTCACTTTCCATGTCAAAACATTTTAATCTATATATTTCAAAAACTTGCACTGTCTGTCTACTTCCCAAGAAATGCCTCAATACTCAAAGTTCTAATTACTTGGATAATGTACTTGGATTCAGCACTTGGATAATGCTATTGGCTGATGATAAAAGGCATTTTTTACCTGGTCCACCTTGCCTGGTAGTCTGCACTGGATCCCAAATCAGGCATTGTCCTTGCTGTCTTCCTCTTCCAACCCTGAAGACTTTTAGCAAGCCCATAATGTTTCCTGCAACACTGTGGACCCTTTACAAGTGTGTTAAGTATTTATGCATTTCTTCTACCATAACCTTCTACACCACCATTGTAACAATGTGAAATTGTTTCAATCTCTCTTTCAAACAATTAATAGATTTTTGGTGGCCTTAGATATCTAGTCCCACAATCCTCCTCTTAGTTTCTGCACTGGTAACTATAAATTCAGCAGCTTGATTTGTTACTCCCCTTGTTATCCTTCCTAGGGCTCCTAAGGAATTACCAGTCTCTGTGCTGTACCCAGATACTTTAGACTCTGCCTAGGTACACATGACAGAGAACCACTCTCCTGCTACAATGAACCAAAGGCTAACATTATTTGCAAACAAAACCATCATTATGTTTTGCTCATATATTTTATCCAAAGAATCCAATAAAGATCAGATTCTTCTTCCCAAGAGAGAGAGTTTCTCTTCTATATTTATAGAAATGTTTCCACTCTACATTCATAGAAAAAACAACATGCTCTCAACTTCATAATTTGCACCAGCATTTGAATCTCAAAACCTTGCTTCATTTATTGCAGTTTCCAGACTTGCATTTCGAACAGTCAGTGGGTCTCCCACTGTGTTAAACTCCCTCCTACCTTGATTTTAAATTACAAAGTGAAGAGAGGGAAAAGAGAGAATGTCATGATTGTGGCTGTTTGGAAGAGAAAAATATCAAGCTGAACTCCATTAAAAAAAAAACCAAAAAACCCTCAACCCCCCACCCCCGCCAAAAAAAACCCCAAAAAACAAACAAACCATAAAAACCAAACCAACCAAAAACGAGAGTACTTCCAAAGTTAGGATCCTTGTTTCTCTCAGTTTATAAACTACTCACTTTTTAAAAGAAAAACAACTATCAGCTATGCAGGATTGATGTTATTATCTTCTATTATCCACACCAGTTGACTGAAAATGCCAACAGTGACAAGTTTAAACCAACAATGAAAAAGCAATTTTGTGTCAAAGTCAGCACTAAGATTGTTTAAATGGCCTGCCCCTATATCTGCCCCTTATTTCTGTAAGCTAGAAACAGCCTGAAGTTTCCTTGTATTTTTGCCCATCTACAAAAAAAAAAAATTAAAAGCTTTTTGTATGGCATTATTAAAAATAGAACAAAGAAGTTTCCAGAAAACAAAACAATTAGCAACCTCCCATTTCTATTTTAAATGCACAGATCTTGTTTTTTTTTTCAAGTTGTAAAGGCTTTAATTATTCATGGAAGACTCATGAAAGCAACCTTAGGCATTGCATTTTAAAGCTGCTTATGGAAAGGATGAATGAAAATAATTATAAATCTTTCCAGTCTTAGCAAGAGTTTTGTAGAGTTAAACTGGAAATTGTCCACTTTATTTCAGCTTTTCAACATGTTCTTAAAAATACCCTAAAAGAAATTTACAGTTGCCAGCAAAGTACTGCACTCACAGATCAATTACAAGCAAGTTACTCTTGACTTTCAGATTTTAACCACAGTTACCCTTTATTTCTCTTTCCCCCTCACTCTACCGCCTCCATCTATTTAGTTGTGCAACTAACGATCAGAGTAATTCCTCATCATACTGGCAAAAGAGCTCCTGTGCCTACTACCTTTCCTGCAGACCCAGTGCTTCAAACTGTTAATAGAGCACCTGCCCCTGTGGCTTTAAATCTATAATCTCATAGAACTGCATTAATGCTTTTCTCAAATTACACTGAAGCACATCTTCGAGGTGCAAGGTTGTGTCAAATTTACCTGTGAATGTTATTTATTTTAACAGAATAAGCTTTCCAAGACAAACTGGGAAAGTTAGGTAAGCTTTTAGAAACCTTGCCAAGGGGAAAACATATTTTCAAAAAAATAAATGAATCACTGTCAGAGAACAGTGTTTGATGTTTAGATTTGCCTTTAATTTAAATCTCAGAAGCAGAAGATCAGCAAGATATTTTGTGTGTGTTGTTTTATGAATCAATAAATGCAATAACAGATCTGAAAATCCACAGAAATAACACATCTTAAATAAATTCCCTCATTGATGCTAGATGGATTCCCATCATAATGAATTGTGCCACTCAGACTGCATGGGAGCTCTGCCTGATGTGCATGGCAGGAACTCCCTCACAAATCCTCTCACATCTTTTCTTTGCTCCTCTTTTTGAAGACATCTGTATTGCTACTCAACACGCAAAAGGGGTGTGTGCTAAATTTAGACTTACCAGAATCTAATTTAAAAGATTAATTTTTATCCCCATTTATAATCAATATTCTATATTTACCCAATTCAGTTTTCATACTTTCCGGTTTTCTTGTTTCTCCCCTTTTAAACAAGTTTTTCATGAACAAATAAAACATAATCTTTCCAAAGGAGGAATTCAGAGCCCATCATTTGCTGTCCACTTGCCTGCAATGTATTTTATATTTCAGCTCTGACCCTACAGAACACAGTTGATAAAGCGAGCATTTAACAGTACAAGACCTATGGTGGCAGTGTGGGTGGAAGGTCAGTTTTATTACAAAGTAACTTTTCACAACACTTACAGGTTGAAGCAGGTAAATCAGCGAGCACTCCTGGATAACTATCACTGGAGAAGGAGTGATATTCGTTGCATGAAAAAGCGTTTCCACCGATGCCATTGTTTGGTCAAAGCGTCCTCCAAGTCCACCCAGAGCCACAATCACATCGACCTAAAAGACAGAACAAAAGACTTACCAAGAAAAGTCTCAGGAATGGTCTTTGGATGCTGGAAATCCACAATAAAATCAGTCTGAGGAAAAATAACCAACAAAAAACTCCTAAACTACTGACTATAGAAAAGCAAATGTCAAATACAGTTATTTACTCCCATTACCGATAAATACCGTTATGTGATTTTTAAGCTGAGTATTAAAGCACCATAAATCCATGGCCAAAATTTGTCACTTTTTAAAAGGACATAACCATTCTCTCTAAAAAACCGGCCAGTCTTTGAAGGTACTAACCTGCCTGTCCTGAATATATAGAATCTAGGATATATCATTCTACATGGAAGCTCCTTGGGTAAGTGTGGCATATCTGAGCCATAGAACCCCCAGCTCTTTGCATCTTTTCATTATTATACTCACAGTTCACAGAGCAAATAAAGGAAATATCAGGTTAGACCATTATGTGTCACTCTCATTCTTGCCATACAGCATTTCAATGCACAAGCAATACCACTCAAAGGCTGGCCCTGCTCAAGATTAAAAGTAGCACCTTATAGAAAGTTGTGTCCCAAGTGACTAGGACATCACCTCCCAGCTGTCAGGGACAGACAGCCACAGGAGCACTCTGCAGTCCCAGTCACACAGAAAACACCTCTGACTGCTTGCAATATGCCATGGAGTTGGACTGCTCCTGCTCAATTCTCTCACACAGGTGTTCCAGACTCTGAACACTTCATTTCCTATAAGCAGAAAAGTAGTATTCAGAAGGCTTGGTTAAGGGTTTTTAGGTACTTAAATAAAAGGTCACTGAGTGCAAAGTATTATTATTATTACTTCCATAATGTAGATCAGTTATGTTCAGTAATTGTATTTTAAAAAGCTAAGTTATATCTAGGGCCCTGAGACATTGCAGCTGTGAAGTCTTTAGAAGCTGCTTTGACAATGGCAATCTGGTTAAGTTTTCAACTTTGCAGAGCCTAAGTCTATGGTTTCCGTGATTAAATGAAATTTTACTCAACCCAAGAGTCACATGATAGTGCTCTGTGTATCTGGAATGATGTATTAATAGCATCAGCTTCTATTTTTATTACCAGGTCTAGGGCTTTATGATCCTGTTGAATATTGTTTTGCATGAAAATTAAGGTCTTGAAGAGATATACCATCTTTCTCATCACCACCTGGAAAATTCTTCAGAGGCCAGAGTGGATCAATATAACACATTACACTAGCAGCAAACCCTGAAACAAAAAAACCTGTCCTTGTACTGCTGACAGCATGTATTTTCTGTGCAGATTATGGATCACACAGACCAAATGTACAACTAAGAGAATAGGGATGGTAAGAAAACCTACCCTTACACAGAAGACAAAATAGCAAAAGGTAAAAAGCATGTGTTTCCATCTAAGCCATAATACCATAATATATTTTCTCTTTTATTGATTCCACTTTAGAAACAAACTGCTTTTGTTCAGCTGGTGATGACTGTGAGTTAAAAGGGTGGATTGATTCTCTGAAAATAATACTACTAATATGACCCACCAACACCCATCAGCTCCCTACCAGACAGCCAGCAGTAAAATGCTCCTCTCCTTCCCCAAGAGAGGCCATGGAGAAAATCAGATTTACTAACGTGGAACCACATTGAACTTAAGGTGGCTTGACAAAGGATCAGCATCCACATGTATGTTGTTTTTCTACTAAGCAATGGGACTGAAGCCCAAACATTAGCCTAGATTAGTCTTCAAGAAACCAAGCAACTACTGTAATAGTTTCTTGGTGTATATATGCCTCACCATACATAAACAAGTGTTTTTTGGCTTCGATGATTGGTACCAATATAAAAGGTAGGAATAACGGAAATACAGAGCTCCTTTGGCTTGGAATTGAAATGATGCCATAACATTCTAGAGGCGTCTTCTTTCCTTTGTAAACCCTTCTCTGTTATTACCACACATGTGCTTTCCATGAAGTACAGTACCCAGATCAAATTATGAAGTTCACAGAACCTCAGAGTTCTGCGGCAGAGACTGCCAGAGGGCTGCAAGTTGAAGAAAAATGTAGCAAAAGAGCCACTTCTTATATTTTCAAGTAATAGAGAATCCTGCTCAAAGTCCTATTCCTTATTCAGTTGGAATGGTGCAGTCTTGTGGATTGGTTACCAAAAAGGAAGAAAATAAAACCAATATAGCATGGAGTGGAGGCATGTTGAAAAGGCATTCATAAATCAGAGGTATAGGGTTGAGTTGTGTTGGGAGAAGGATAATAAGGATATCTGAAAAAGGAATGTATCTATTATTTAGGGTTTTCATGGATTGTGAAAATGAAAAACAAGCATGTGGCAGGTATGCAAACAAACCCAGGACGAGTATGAGAGGAACAGACAGAGAGAAAAGCTAAAATTCTGCACTTCTATGACAGTTTACAGTACCACCTTTCACTGCATAATCTTGGCAGAAGTGACAGGAATCCAGACATCGCAGGACTTTTACAGCTTTTATTTGAAGGTCTAGGCATTCACACTTTGTTTATTAAAAAAAACCACAAAAAGGATAAGTGCAGTCAAAACCTCAAGAGCCTTTTCATTCTAAAGCTATCACCTCTGTTAAAAAAAGAAAAACAACCTTACACAACAAAAATCACAAACTAACTAAACAATCACTTCCTTCCCTGCAATCACTGCTCTTGTCTCTCTGCCAAGAACTTAAGAAAATAGATGTGCCATGAAAGCATGTACACAACTCTGTGTCATTCTACAACCTAAGACAAAGTGAAGAACCAAGGATTGGTACATTTAGATATTCCCAAACTGCAGAGAAGAAAGACCATTCATTTTTGCACTATGATTTCCTGCATACCACAAGCCACAGAATTAATCCTGTTACTGCTAATGAGCCCCGCAGGCAACATTTGACTAACACTCTGTGCTTCAATTGAAATGTCCACGCTTCACTTAAATGTCCCATCACTAGTCCCCTTACACAATTTGTTTTCACACTGTGTCATTCATTTCCTGAAAAAAAGGACATAAAATCATAAATAACTACAGAGAACAGCTTATATGATTGCAGGTACATTCTCTTGGGCTATCTATAATCTGAATTAAATGCACAGTATCTTTAAAGGCTATCAAGCTTTAACTTACAAATAGTTGAAGATCTAAGGGTAGGATCCAGTCATCTTTAAAAGATACACCCATATGTTAGCATGTCTTGAGAAAGCTTTAGAAGTCACTATCAAAGAGCAGGGCAGTTAAAAGGAGAAGGAAAGCAGAGAGTAAAACTTTATGCTGGCAATTCAGGGACGTATCTTTTTGTTCTCCTGCAAACTGTAATTTAGAGGGTGCAGTAACCAAGGGGAGCTGAGGCTCTCACCACATCAGAATGAAGTTGCTCAGGTTTCTGCTTCCACTCTCAAAGAGACTACTGAAATGGACAACCTGCTGTAAACTCTTTGCAGGCTTGCTAAATTAAACACTGTGAAAGCTGGCCCAGCTGACATTCCTCTTTCTAGTATAAATGGGCTAAATACAAAGAAGATTTTCACTTTATGACTGAGGAACATGCATTTAAAGACACAGGAAGCTGGGAATTGCCTGGAGTGGGTGAAAAGAGAGCAATAGCCAGTGATGATGTCATCATCACCATGACTTGTAAGAGTGAAGTCCAACGCTCAAACTGACAGTAAATGATGCACACTTCTTTTCAAAACCATGCTTATTATCTCTGATAAGAAATCCTCTCCCCAGGGAGAGAACAGACAACTCAAAGAACTTTCTTCCCCATGAGTTCACTTTTAGCCTGACAACTTGCAAACAAAAATGCCTAAGTCTCAGTGAGGTGGGCAGATTAAAGGAAACAAATTTACTAACAACAACCAGCAGCACTGAACGAACTGCAAAGATCTCCCCTAAAGGAAAAAAAGAAGTCAAGACCTTGTAAAAGTTCTAGAGTCATGACTAAACCTCCCCCTGCTCTGAGATCATGGAGATCATTAGTATGCCAACTTCAGGTTAGATATCTGATTGGAACATTGTGGGTTTTTAGCACCTTCTCACTTCGCTAAAATCCTTTCATCTCCACAGCCTTTCTTAATTTTCTAGAACTCATGAGATGATTCCTTTAATTTAATTTTTAAAGGAATATGACCTAGACAACAAAATTATTGTAGTAACATGCATAGCATGTTGGAAGTTTGTTATATGCTGAAAAATATTTATATACATATATATAAGTATCTTGTGTTGAAAAACAAACAATTAAGTAGTAGTGTGAATGTTGCATTTATTATTGCTTTATTGGTTTGTCACTTCATCAACTTTGGGCAGTTTACAAGAAAAGCATTTTCTTCTTCATAAGGCAATTTGTGAGCTCAAGATGTGGTTTAAGTTATTTTCTGGTCCTTGCATCAGCTTCAGTACCAAAGACTTAAAAACACACCAAGCACTTCCCTTGAAAACAAATGGGCCAGAGTGGATTTTAACTCATTTGCCTGTGCCAGAGCTCTAGTGCTGGCCACATAAGTAATTTTTTATCTCATCCTCAGAATTGCAATGTAAATTTCATGGACTACTAAAATCCCACAATCCAATGTTAAATATGCAGCAAGATATTGTTCGCTTGAGTGGACAATATACTGGCTCCCTAGCTCGTGTTTTGCATAAAAAATATGACATTCATTTCTGTAGAAATGAGATGCTGAACCACACAGCAGCATCTGAACTTTGCTCAGGTAGAATCCTCTTAACTTTAGCCAGAATTTTCTTGTTGCTTCAGCCATGTGACTCTTCCTGGGAACAAGAGCTCTCAGTCAAAGGCTACCATCCTGTCTGTGTACCTGAGATGATAACCTTCAATCAGCTTCACCCTCACCTCACTGACTCCACTAATCTATATGTTATATTGTTCCAGATCCCTCACAAAGCATTTCTTGCTTTTTATTGTCATTTTCTTAGAGTTTCACCCAAGTGCTTTCTCTATTGGTAATGCTTTTTATTTGAATAAGAG